CGACGGGTCGATTGAAAGGTTCAAAGCAAGACTTGTGGCTAAGGGATATAAACAGAAGTTTGGTGAAGACTACTTCTGCACCTATTCTCCTGTAACGAAAATAGCCACAATACGCATATTGTTTGCTCTAGCGTCTTCTCACAAGTGGCTGGTCCATCAAATGGATGTAAAAACAGCTTTCCTAAATGGAGACCTGGAAGAAGAAATTTACATGTCTCAACCTCCTGGATGCGCCAACCCCGGGCAAGAAGGGAAGGTATGTAGACTAGTAAAATCCCTATATGGGTTAAAGCAAGCTCCCAAATAGTGGTACGAGAAGTTCCACAAAACACTGTTAGATCTGGGACACACGGTAAATCGATCAGATGCTTGTTTGTACTCAAAAGAGATTGAGTCTAGCATTGTCTTGATTTGCATTTATGTAGATGATATGCTAATCTTTAGCTCAAATATAAATGCAATAAAAGAGACAAAGAGGTCTCTGTGTGACAAGTTTGATATGAAAGATATGGGCGAAGCTGATGTGATACTTGGAGTGAAAGTCATCAAAGAGAAAGATGGCTACAAGTTATCACAGGGTCACTACACAGAGAAACTGCTAAAGAAGTTTAACAGTTTTGAAGTGAACCCTGCTCAAACTCCATATGACCCAAGTGCAAAACTCTCGAAAAACACAGAGGCAAGTGTGTCTCAAGAGGAATATGCGAAAATAATCGGGAGTCTGATGTTCTTAATGAACTATACCAGACCTGATATTGCACTTGCGGTAAATCGACTAAGTCGATACACTCATAATCCCAGCGATACCCATTGGAATGCACTAAAGAGGGTGTTACGCTATCTAAAGGGAACGATGAACTGGGGATTGCACTTTTCTGGCTTCCCAGCGTCCCTAGAGGGGTATTGCGATGCGAATTGGGTGAATGATAGTGATGAGGTGAGCTCCACCAGCGGGTATGTTTTTACCATGGGAGGAGCAGCAGTATCGTGGAAATCCACGAAACAGGCGTGCATAGCCAGATCAACGATGGAAGCTGAATTTATAGCTCTTGATCTAGCATGGCAAGAGGCTGAGTGGCTTAGAAACCTACTAGCAGACGTGCCATTGTGGGGGTCTTCTACGCCGTCAGTGCCCATACATTGTGACTCGCAAGCTGCGATATGCGTAGCAAAAAATAGTGCCTATAATGGTAAGAGGAGACACATAAGAGTCAGACATGAGTCTGTGAGACAACTAATTCTAAGTGGCGTACTTTCACTAGAATATGTGAAATCCGAAAAGAACATTGCAGATCTTCTCACGAAGGGGCTAAACAAAAGAACCATCCTCGAAACATCGAGGGAGATGGGCTTAATAGCGATACAGTGAGCAAACTTCGAGGCTATATAAACCTGGAAGCTAAACACACCTATTCAGAGATAGGTCTCAGGTCAAAGAGTTGACCTTACGAGAAAGACCAAGTTATATATTCTTACAGGGTGATTGCTGGTGTGTGAACTGAGTTCAAAACTAACTCTTCTTTCGATAGTTCAAGATCTAATTCACTATCAAAGGAGAAAGTTACTCAAGTCACTACGTGTCAGTTCAAGGTACAACCACTGACATTAAGATCAGCACTCATGCCAGAAATTCCATCTTCTTCTTGCCACCTTGAATGTGTGGAGGATTGTTGGAGATTATATTCAAGATGGTGGTTTAAAGTGTGTAGAAGGAAGACACTCTTGTCCCACATTGGAAGGATAAGGGACTAATTCCCACCTTTTTAATACCAACCCATTTAGAAGGCTTAAACTATAGTAGAGAGAGAATGAAAGGGAACCCCACACACGCGCGCCACCGCCGCGCGGCTCGGTTCGGTTCGCACGCGCGTCGCGGTGTGGTGTGGTGTAGTCAGCGTTTTACTTGGGCTTTATTTTAATTCCGAGTTTTTTCCCTTTTAGAGGTAGATTTCATGTAGAAATCTACCATCCACACATTAAGTTGTGGTGGAACAAGTTTTCCTATTCTTGTGGGCATTTTCACCACAATTTTTCCTAAAATCGTGGAGCATGAATGGCTGAGAGGGGAGGGGCGGGTATTTTCAATACTATAAATACCCTGCTTCTCCTCAGTTCTATTCACTCATCAAATTCTCTTCTTCTCTTCTGCAATCCTGAGCTTCGGTGTTAACTAGTCGGAAGCAACCGGTAAGACTACAACCGTCTTCGGGAAATTTTTGCTTTTAAGTTAGTGTCTTGCACACGTCACCGATCCCTTCAGGATTCATCCATTCTCAGCCTATAAAAAACAGTAGCCCCAGGTCTATGACATATTCTATCCGAATTTTCCCCAACAGCGGGGTGCTCCTGTTCCTTTAACTGAGGTGGCTGACTTCTTGGTGTCGCATGAGTGGATTTGTGCGGTTGATGGTGTTGGTCTCGGTGCACCAGCAGCTATGACCGCGAGCCGTGGTGGACGCGGTGGTTCGCAACAGCACTGTGGTGGCTGGGGTGGTCAGTAGCAACGTGGCGACGGTGATCGCGGCAGAAGGAATAGAGGCGTGGATGTGGGCGCTCCAATTCCGGACCGCGGTGTCAGATTTGCAATAAGCACGGGCACATTGCTCTTTCGTGCTATCAGCGTTTTTCGGCTCCATTACCACCCTAGGCGAATGTGGCAGTCTCTGGTGATGACGATAATTCGGGTGGTCCTCATTAGTGGTTCCTGGACACTGGTTCCACGAATCATGCTATACCTGATTCCTCTCAGATGACCTCCGCGATGAGTTATGATGGCCTGGAGACTCTATGGGTCGGCAGTGGTACATGTTTCCCTATTATTAATGTTGGTTCTGCTTCGTTAGCCACTGATTCTAGGTCTTTCCAAAATGTGTGATTCTTGCATGTCCCTGGTCTCTCTTCCTCTTTATTGTCTGTTCAGCGTTTTGCTAAGGATAATAATGTTTTCTTTGAATTTCATCCCTTGTGTTTCTTTGTGAAGGACATTACGACCAGGAAGGTTTTTTTTAAAGGGCATGCGTCTGGCAGCCTTTATGCCTGGCCCACTTCGCGTCCAGTTCCTGCTACGTTTGTTGCCGCACGTTCGTTTTTTGTTCAGCATATGCGGCTTGGTCATCCTCATTCAAGAGTGTTGCGTCAAATTTTAGAGTCGTCATCTGTTAGTAAATTTAGTTCTAGTGAACTTCCCAGTATTTGTTCGTCTTGTCAATTGGGAAAGTCGTCTCGTTTTCCTTTATCTCGTGTTGAAACTATTAGTACGCAGCAGTTGGAATTAATTTATTCTGATATTTGGGGCCCTGCACCGTTACTTTCTGCGAATGGCTTTAAATATTTTGTATTGTTTGTGGATGATATAAATGTTTTATGTGGTATTATCCTATGTGTGCTAAGTCTAAGTTATATGCTAATTTCGATAGGTTTCGGTCACTTGTTGAAAGATCTTTTTCTCGCAAGATTATTTGTTTTCAGTCTGATTTAGGGGGAGAGTATAAAAAGCTTGGTTCTACACGGGCTTCTCTGGGTATCCGTCACAGGCAGTCTTGTGCGTATACTCACGAGCATAATGGTCGGGTTGAACGCAGGCATCGCCATGTTGTTGAGACGGGTCTGGAACTGATGGCTCATGCATCTGTCCCATCTCGGTTTTGGGATTACGCATTTGAGACTGCGGTGTACTTAATCAACAAAATGCCCACCTGCGTTCTAGCTAATGAGTCACCTCATTCTCATTTACATAGGTCTCCCCCCTCTTAGTCTCCCTTGCAGGTGTTTGGGTGTTTATGTTTTCCGGTGTTACATCCTTATAATCGTAACAAACTACAATTTCGGTCGTCTCCCTATGTCTTTTTAGGGCATCGTCCATCTTTTCGTGGCTATCGTTGTTTAGACACTAACACTAATAAGGTTTTTATCTGTCGCCACGTGCGATTTGATGAGACGGTTCTTCCCTTTGTTTCTCCTGTTGTGACTCAAGTTCATCCGCCGCAAGACCCGTGGGCTGTTGCACAGGTGCCAGTCGCTCAGGATGTGCCGTTTTCGGGGTTGTTGGGGCTGCTGTGCAGCGTGTTGTGGATGATGGTTGGCTCAGCTGGGTGTGTTGCGTCATCCTTGTCCAGTGAGCACACCGTCTCAGACCAGCCAGCCAAGCGGTAACAGCGTGTGACACAGGGCTGAGGACGCCGGGCAGCAGCTGCTTCGCAACCTCGGTCACATGTTATGGCTACACGTAGTATGGGACCTTATGATCATGTTGCTCTAGTTACTACCACTGCTCCTGAACCCACTTGCTACTCTCAGGCGGTCAAATTTCCGGAGTGGCGTGATGCAATGGATTTGGAATTCAACGCCTTGGTTCATAATAATATGTGGCGGCTTGTCCCATATAAATCAGGTATGAATGTTGTAGGCTGCAAGTGGGTGTTCCGAACCAAGAGAAAAGCTGATGGTTCGGTTGAACGACATAAAGCTCGCCTGGTTGCTAAGGGGTTCAATCAGGTCGCTGGAGAGGTCTTTTTATAAACTTTTAGTCCTGTGGTTAAGCCCACTACGGTACGTCTTCTCTTATCCTTGGCTGTCTCTCGTGGTTGGGCTATTTGGCAATAGACATTCATAATGCCTTTTTGAACGGTAATCTGGCTGAGACTGTTTTTATGCGCCAGCTACCCGGTTATGTGTGTTTACTTTAGAGATCTCTTTATGGTTTGAAACAGGCACCTCGTGCCTGGTTTACACGGTTACACGATTTCTTGGTTGCAGTTGGTTTCTCGCCCTCTAAAACTGATGTCTCTCCTTTTATTCATTCATGTGATAATATCCAGCTTTATTTTCTGGTTTATGTGGATGACATCTTAGTTATGGGCTCTGACTCGGATCGTGTGGCTGGTCTTGTTGATAAGTTGGCTTCGGAGTTCGAAGTTCGTGATATGGAGGTTCCATCCTTTTTTCTGGGTATTGAGACTGTCCCGCTTTCTGGTGGAATGTTTTTATCGCAATAGCGCTACATGAAGGACATTATGAAACGAGCTGGTATGGTTGACTACAAGCTCGTGGGCACGCCGATTTCTTCCGCCAAGCTCACGGACGAGGCTCCCGTTCCCTATGCCGATCCTATGCAGTATCGCAGTCTTGCTGGTGCCCTTCAGTATCTTACGGTCACCCATCCAGATTTGTCCTAGTGGTTAATCGTCTGTGTCAGCACATGCATGCACCAACTACTGCAGATTGGGCTGCTCTCAAGAGGGTTTTTAGGTATGTCAATGGAACTTTGCATATTGGTCTTTGCATATCTCGTTCTAATTCTCTTGATATTCATGCTTACTTGGATTCGGATTGGGCTGGTAATCCGGATGATCGGAAGTCGATCCGACCAGTGATTTTGCTGTGTGTTTGGGTGGCAATCTGGTTTCTTGGGTATGCCGGAAGCAGCGGACTGTAGCGCGCTCCTCGACTGAAGCAGAGTAAGGGATTGGCTAATGTATCTGCGGAGGTAACCTGGTTGGTTTCCTTGATGAAAGAAATTGGTTTTCCACTTGTCTCACCGCCCAAGCTATGGTGTGACAATTTGGGGGCTACTTATTTGTGTGCTAATCCAGTGTTTCATGCTCGCACAAAGAACATTGAGATTGATTACCACTTCGTTCGTGATAAGGTTGCTAAAAAGGAGTTGCAGATCCATTTTATATCGACTAAAGATCAGCTGGCAAACATTTTTACTAAACCTCTTTCTTCATTACGTTTCAGTATACTTCGTCACAAGCTCAGTGTTTTGGCTAGCCAACCTTGTGCTTGAGGGGGGTATTAGGACTATAGTACTTGTGTTACACAAGAATTATATTTCGTATCCTTATATTTGTATTCTCAGACTTTGGTATTTAATACAACACACAATTCATATCCTCATCTCTATTACCCCCCCCCCCCCTCCCCCTCCGTATACTGGTAACCCAACCCTTTCGGTACCAACACTATTCAACCAATTCAAAGTCACATTTCCCTAATCCTAACCATCATTTCTATCCCTTTCCTAGGGGAGTATTCATAGATGTTCACGAAGAACGTAGATTAAGAATAAAAGATTATCCCATAGCAACACAAAGTAATGAATTGAAATTAGAATTGACTTATCTAATTAGAATTGAACTTGAAGCTAGAAAATGAAATCAATTTTCTTGCTTCCAAAAGATAAATATATAAAGCTTGAATCTAACTAGAACTTGGAATTGAAATTGAAATGAAAAGTAAATTGGAAAATGTTGTTATAAATAGATTTATGGTGGACATTAATAATAATTTTGTAACGTTTGTAACTGATGTTACGGATATAATTATCATTCATTATTGTATGTCTTTTATGCTATCTTGTATATATATATATATATATCATTGTACTATGATGAATGAGAAATGAAGAGATATCCTCCTTTCTCCTTGGTCTATTCTGTATATTCTTTTAACACGTTATCAAGCACATGATGCTTTACCTAATGGAGTTTTGCAGTCAATCCATCTGCCCTAGCTATCGTCTCCGTTTACACGCTTCCATAGATTCTCTCCGTTTCCGTCTTTGCCGGCGCTGCGCATCAAATCAGATTATAGACGTAAGCACAGAGGTAGATCGTAGAACAGTGAGGGTTCCGCCGGACTTGAGCAGGGATTAACCGGACGGTGCAGGCCGGAGACCATTGTCGCTCTATGATTCGCGTCGCTCCCGGCGTGTACAAACTGCCGGTGTATGTTCCCGAAGACCGGAAACCTCATTATGAACCACGTTAATCTCATCGAAACTCTCATGGATGTGAGGCAGTGGTCAAATGTGTTCGTTGGCATTATTTCGAGAGGGATAACTTTGGAGGACGACCGCCCATTGCTAGACGCGAGATCGCCTCCGGCGAGACGGTGTAGCCCGCGCAACGTAACTCCGATCCGTAAACCAAAAATTAAGGGATCGAAACTTCTAGACTGGAACGATTTGAATGGCTGCGATAATCCACGGCGGTCTTGGAGCTCTAGCTATCCACCGTCTCTATGTTCCGGAGCGTGAGTTGTTTTGAGTTGGCCTCAGTAGTAGTACCCTGTCATCTTCCAGAAATGTTAAATTCTGTGGCCAGCCTCCAGGAGGAGACAAGTCTTAGATTCATTGTTCTTTCTCATTGAAGAATCACTTTGCGGAATCAAGATGAAGGATACTCTGTGTTCCCTTTTTCTTTCTGATCGTCTTTGGCTTTTCTCCGTCCAAACGAGCTGCATCTGGGACTAAAGGTCGTTGCCTAACTGTACTATGTGAGTGGTCTGCCAAAATTTGATTGAGCACAGAATTTGGAAACATGGACGCTTTATCGTCGGTGAACGGTATTTGTTTATGAATTATATTCTTAATTACTTATTACTTATGTTGCTGCTTAATCAAATTTATATATCTCATATGTGCTAAATTTATTTACATGAATTCTAAGATATAGTTTTTATGATAAACTTTTGGCATGAAAAATTGAGAACATGGGAATTGAATCACTATTAGACTATATACTGCCAAAATATCTATAAAATAGGCCATTAATTTTTTTAGCAACTTTGAAGTTGTAATAGAGGGGGTGCAAGTACTTGTTGAACATGTTCAGATGCACCCGAATATGAATTTATTTGATGCCTTTTTTCAATGCCTATCTATCTTTTTTTTAACAGATGTATAGAGATACCATCATAGTCTTGGTAGATACTATAACCTATTAAATGCTAAGATATTTGCTATGCTTTGCTGATGTTTTCAAGTTATGCATGCACTTAAATATTCAAGCATTATGCCCAAAAATTTGTGCATGCACTAGATCCAAATATTTCCTCAATAATTTGTGCTCCAATTTTTCAATGCGAATATGTCAATTGATAAGGCTTTTGTTGTCATTACCTATCAATATATATGAGTTACCTCAATTTGTCAATGATAATTATAAAAGTTGCACTTTGTTATGAATTGACTTGCTATTTGCCACCTTGATTGCAAATTAGCCAAAGTTAACGCTTTATTCTGTTTGCGCTGTGCATTCTTTGAACTTGCCTATTAACAAAGAAAATTTGTTATATTAAATTGACTATTATTTACTATAGGCCATATTTGATGATGAGATTTTTTTTATTAAAAAAATCTTAATGGGAACTTGCATAAATGCATGTAATTTGCCTAGAAATGAAGCACTTATTATATGACCGTCCCTAAAGGATCATCTTGCTCAACAAGTGATTATAGCCTAAATTCTAAACATAGCATTGCCCGGAAGGCAACGAGTCATAGCACAAATTAGAGATAATAACACTAGGGTGATTTCCCCAATGTAAAATTGGCTTTGTATTGTTTTAAAAGTTAATTGATGGAGCTAATTTTCTATACAAATTATTTCACATGAGTCTTTGGCATTGAAATAGATCTCAAATCTAAATAGTTAAATGAAGTGATAGTACCTAATTTTTTTATATAGTTTTGCTCAGAAGGTAAACCAAGAGCACTAATTTATCTGTCACTCGTTATCTTGCCCGTCGTTTATGATTGTCACATTGTACTCCTGTACTAGTACATGAAAAAATTATGCTAAGTGTTAGGTTTGGTCATTGGGCTATTTTTTTAATAAGGTCTGGAAGACCCTGGATGTGGATTGATCTTTAAGGTGATTAATGACTCATGAATGAAGTTTGCAACTTCTATTTCTAAAGCTGTGTTACTCTCCAAAAGTCAAAATTGACTCACATCATGATGGTTTGCCTAAAGCAAACAAATTGTGAATTTTGTTTTATACATAGTAATCACCGCCTGAATATTCTAACTGGCGCAGTTTCAAATTTAAATTCGCGAAAAATACTTCCAGACCTTGGATTGACATTAAAATTTTCATGTACGTTATAGACTTGCTAAAATACATATTTACAAAATATTGTGCCAAAATGTGTTACCGTTTTCCCCCAGAAAAGTCTGCAATCTAGGTCAAAATTCTGGAAATTTCTGCCCTTTTTAGCTTGTATATCTTGCTATTTTGTGATGTTTTCATGCTTGTATGAAACTATGAGATAAAATGAGAGCTTGCTTGGAAAAGTGCCGTTTTTGACTCCCCGAAATAGGAATGAATGGTCCTGGCAGCGAACATGTGCTCGTTATCCTTCGGCGAACGGTACTTCTCTCATTTTATTTTCTAATTTATGAATCAATAGAATCTCTTGTCATGGCATGCCTTGTGTGTACCACACATGATACTCTTTGTTTAAAATGGATGTGCATGACTCGATTGAGATTTTGGTGTCCAAGACACAAGGGACAATTATATGACATTAGGCTCATATAAGAGAATTTGTTATTTCTCTTGTTGGCAATTAATTATTTGCTATAGGCCATAGCTATTGTGATCTATCACACAAATTATAAGTGAGACAATAGCATGAATCATCAATATGGTTGTCATTGTTAGGTTGCACCTGTCGTTGCTAAACCTTAGTTTTGATCTTGTGATATCAATTAGATTATATGAGTCTGAATATTGTGATATCTAGTGTGAATATTGACTATAGTTTTGCCCGGAAGGTGAATTCATAGCACTACTGTAAGTCTCATTGTCTTCAAGGCTAGTCATCTTGTACTTCAGCAGTAGTACATAACAAAACTATACTAAGTTTTTGAGTGTCATTGCATTTTGAAAAGATACATCTAAAACTTAGTTTATGTAGGAATATACTATAAGTTCATTAGCCTTCACTATTTGACAATGTGACTTGTAAATGGAATGTTCTCCTAATAAAGGTCTAGAAGACCTCATAAGAGGATTATATAATCCTTAGGTGACTAATGGCTCATGAATTATGACTGATGGAAGATGTCTTAACTCCCTATCTTTAGTGTTATGCTATTCTACCAAAAATAGTTTATAATATTGTCGCGATGTGATTACATGATATAAATATTATTTTACACGAAATTTGCTTGAAAGTTTCGAAGTGAATCACATCATGTTAGTTAGCCTGAAACAAATCTTTAAATGATCTATTTTTTTTGGGGACATTCAATTTCATATACTATATTTTTGAGTCCAAATCTGACTCACTGCATATCATATTTTCTCTCCCCATACAATAAGTACGTGGTCTAAAATCTACCATTTCCCTATCTGCGTTTTATTATTAGTATGCAGTTTGATTTCTTGTATCACCAGTTCACCACCATAGCGTACCTCTAGGGCTATGTTGATTATATCAATCTCCGCATGTTACCTATATACTTAGAGCCCATGCTAGGGGGTCAATAAGTAATAAGCTAAGGTAAGCTGACTGCATACTTTATGAAGATCGATTCACGGCATTATGGGGAGATATGAACCCAAATTTAATAGAATGCCGAGAAACTTCATAAAATGAAAAGATCTTCACTATTTAAATTCACGTATTAGTTAGACTGAACTA